CCCATGCTCATCGATGCTTAAATTTCCGACTGTCATTGAAGCTGGGCGGCACAACACGCATACTTTACCATCAAGATACTTACGTGTCGGAGGACAAAATTTATACCAATCATCGATTTCCTGGGACAGATTAATATCATACCGCGAAGGTCTCCATTACACCCATTTCTTTCGATTCGGATGCTGAGGATTCATTAAAATTCGCCCCGAACTTTGAAAACTCGAGGCGAGAGCTCATGATAGATATCTGATGCAGTTCCAAGCCAATGTAAACAGGATAATTCTCGTTCTCAATCTTTACCTCAATTGTCTTCTAGCACTTGCTAAATCAGATGTACGAACCAGTTTTTGTTCTGAATTCTACATGAAGGACTAGATATTGAATTTTGTGTTGTCTTTCATATTTAAAGACTTGGTAGGGGTTTTAATTAAATTTAATTAAATATACAGACTCTTTCGAAGATTAGTAGTAGAATACGACACTTATGCCAGCATACAAATTTTCCGGAAGCTACCATGCACAAAGACGAGCTAGTCCGACACTCCAGTTATCCGCTCATAGTTCTAGGCCTCAGCAGGCGAGGTCTCGGTGGATGGTGGAGGTCGCCACCAATTAGCCGACACATTAGGCACTACTCTATTTCTCGAGTTAGATAAAAAGGAGCCATATGGCCAGCCAATAAACCATGTACTGATCCATGAATCTCTACCTTGGTAGTATCCCGACACTTAGTTGAACAAAAATCACGGTTAGATGATCTTGATCAAGCTCAGCCTGTGGAGCCTTCGCCTACGTCGATGTCGGTGCAGTAATTAGGTGGATTTGGCATAGATGTCTAACAGAATATGGATCATTGAGTCGAAAGTTAGCCGCTCCAACTCTCTGTATTCGGTCATTCGTAGCAGTGCTCGAATCATCGCATCCAGCTGGAAATTTGTAAAGAATCTAAGATACGAAAATACAACGCTTCTTTGTCCGGCTTATAATGCGAGTGAATATAGTGATCAGTTACTCAAAGATCGGCGCCGTTGATTCCCAACCGACAGACGCAGTTGTAAAATCCACATCACCAGCCTCCGTCACCAAAAGTCCATCACGGCGCAAATTTTCACAGATGCGTCATCAATGTACTAACATGCGATCCTCCTTCTCGACCAAGGAGCAGCTGGTAGATGGGCTAAAGGTCCGTGCAATGATGTGGGGCCTGCTCAGTGTGGGGAGTGAAGCCCGAAAGATTGGCTTGGCTACCATCTGATCGCATCTATCATCAATCTGCCCGTAATCTGGGGTAGCCATGGATCCATGCCACACAGTTATCCACATCTACGCCTTTCCCAGTTGCGGATGTTTCCGATGAAACCAAGGTGTCCCATAGCGTGAATGAGACTATCAATGAATTTGCGCTCTTTGATATTAGAGATTTGCGGGACGAAAGGTCTCAGATCTTGTGCTGCACATTCGAATCTAGGCGGGGCGATAGTGGATATCACGCAACCAGGAGAGATAAAAGTAAGTTACAAATCTGCGAGTTTCCTCGTATCGTTTTTGAAGTAGGGTCAAGCATGTATGTGAAGCGAAAACTCTTTCGTATCAGTTAAGATTGGTGCCGTATTCAAAATTTGCATACTATTTTCTCATCTCCGTAGATTCGCATCCTTGTAATTCTCTAGTTCCTCGACTAACAGAACCCTATTATCCGGTTACCCGCGGCCTATGAGGCTCACAAGACATCTCTATGTCCCCCATTATTCCCATCATCATCTTGTATCACGAAAGATAGAGAAGAAAATAGTTGACTCTTTTTACGCGCGCCGAAGTAGTCGGCAAAATCGGCGGCTGACCTTACGACCGGATCTAGCCTACACTATTTCAAACAACGAGCCCACAAATATAGCCAGCCGAATAATCAGCATCACTTATTTGGCAACCGGACCTGATAAAGCGGGTCTAAAGCATTTTCTCAAGCGTAGGATGAACTAAACTTTCGAGTATCACGGCTTCGAGATGCGAGAGTACAAGAATCAGAGGCCAAGTGTAATTAACGTGTGGGAGATAACCTAGAACTGATAGTGCTAAAGTAATTATCAAACTTTGTCGAAGGGCCAACAGAATATAAATTTGGTTAGTTGTGGTATTTAAGTTTGTACCAAGGTTTTGACAACTTTTTCCACTCATTATATTGGATAATTCGAAGTTTAAATCTATTTGTCATATCTTTCTTTGTTTAAATCTTATTATTTAACCCTTCGCCTTCTCCGAAAGTGACTAGACCTCTGAACCTCGGTAACCTAGGTAAGTTTTCCGATAAGGATTTTCACAAGATCTGATCGCTCGCAAGTGTAAAATGGTGTAGGCGTTCAAGAGATTCTAAACAGTTACCAGACACTCTGGGGCTTGCCGATGTATTCGTAACCACACTTATAGCTTCGAAGTATAATTAGAAGTTAGAGTCTACAAATTAATTCTGGTGTCTCTGTAAGACCCGTTATATCCTTTATTTTAGTAAACGGCACGATATTCCATATGAGCTAGGCAATGTCTATGTGGGCAGTGGTGCCTCATCCAATCATTTTAAAAGACATATGTACACATCGCCTCTGATAAGCATTCTAGTTCGTCCTAGATGCTGGTTCTCAGCAGTATCCACATATGACAGTATGGACACGTATATAGCTCAATAATGGGTAAACTAGACGTCAAGTCCTGGATAAATATCGTGGGCCAGTAATCTATGCTCGTAATAGCGCTTTCGCCTTTTCCATTTCCCCACCCGCCAGAATCATCTTCATAATTCTCCCGAAAAAAGGTTGGTACAAGCCATTATGGAGGGAGTCCAAGATGTTCCAAGCTACTAGCAGGGCCGAATTTTTGGTGCTCATGGCGTATGACACTTTGTTAACGGTGCGAGCTGCTAGGTGAGCAACCTGTGACCCTAATCGAGGCGCTGTCGTGGGATTAGCATTTTTTGAGAACTAAAATGGATTGAATGTCTGTTGGGACTTGAAGGTAGATGGGCCACATAGAGATCTATCATGAGGTTGAGCTGGCTGCATCATCTGGTGGCGCGACGCCGATTTTTTGGGATTGGACCAACAGGCTTATTATCTGTAGCGAAGAAGGAAAATTGTTTCCTGCCTGCATCGTCGGCCATTTGACGGCGGCCCTCGAATAGGGCTGATTGGTCGATGTTGCCTGGAGAAGTATCTCTTTGATCTCAGCTGACTGATTTAGATGGCGGGGTAATGCCTCGGTTCGTGCGAGCCACTGGCAGCCAGCCCGACTTTAGTCGGCGATTTAATCTTCCGGGCGGCTTGAGTGCATATGCTGCAGACTGCACTGAAGGTATCTCGTGAGCTGCCCACGGACTCTGGCCATTAATGCAGCGAGCGCGACGGATCTGGCAGCTTGCCTGTTCATGTTTGATCGAATAGCATGTCCCGTATCTCGGCGGGCTCAGGACGATCTTCGTGGGCGTGATGGCGCCAGCATCACCTGTACTGGACTCGCCTTGGCTTGCATTGCAGCTCGCCTAACTGACCGCTCAGCATTAACACCGCCCTGAGCTCTAGCAATGAGCTGCCCAAGATTAAACTCAATCGAACACTACACTTGTCGCGTCAGAAGCCTAGATGCGGGCGAAAGATGGACGAAGCTTTCTTTTCACGCCATTCCAGGCCCATGGGCGCTGGTGCAGCATAAGCCTTGAAGACAAGGCGTATGTACATCTTTCGCTACGATTTCTGCCGCACTTATACCCACCAATGATGTCCGCAGTATATACCGAAAATAAGGAAAATTATTTCTCTAGCGATAAAGCAATATTTATTTATATTCTCTACCGGGCCGAAGCGAATGCTATTGCCTCATCCCAGGAGGAACATGGTGACTACTACAAAGCAATAGCGCCTGGCCAGTGGTTGTTTGTTTAGTATTTGAAGTTCAATTAATGACTATAATACACTAGTCCCGAATACGCCTGGCCAGTGGCACTTGTAGTGAACCAGTAATGGGGATCCCGCCATCAAATTAAAGAAATCCCTAATTAGAATGGAAAAGATAAGTTGTATTTAAATAGTCTGTCCTACATAGTTATAAACTCAAATAGGACATAAATGGATTATTATTATTATTAGTGGCACTTGTATAAGTTAGAAGTCCTCGTGAAGCGAGATCCAATCGCCCCAGTGACTTGTCCGCAAATGCCATCATGAAGTTGGAAGGCCAACTCGATACTGTCGACTAGATACGAAAGTTACCCTATCACAGTAGAATGTCAAAGTTGGTCAGTCAAGCAGTCTTTCTTCCATGTCCTTTTTATTATACGTTCTGTTCGTTTCAATTCTATTCACAACTACCTTTTTCATCTAGCGTTTATAGATGATCTGAGAAATTTTATTATCAATCACATCTGGAGTCCTACTCGAAATGGAACCGTTAATCCAATTATTCCTCATTTCAGTCTTCATCCTGTGCCAAGGCTAATTTACGGGTAAGAAATCATTTCAGCTTGTTCTAACTACTGGCATAGTGAGCTCTGGAAGCTATTTAAGCCAAAGATACAAGTGTTAAGATTATTTAGGCGACAAATATCACTTCCACTTTCAATGTCTCCGAATAACGAAATTTTCTATTTTAATCTCAAGTGACTTGTGACCCGCATGTCAAACTCTTGCTTACAAATATTCACTATCCACTATATGATAGTAAGAATCTAGAAGCCACCTAACCTTTCTGACATGATCTGGCCAGTCAATGCTGTACATAATTTTAAGGAAACATAAAACGAGGACTTGATAGGTCCTCTACGTACCGCTTATTCTAGAGTTCATTGTCAGATTCTATGAAGGGCTCACATGTCATGTCCAGCGTACAAGGTTTAGTCCTTGAATTTAGATTGCGGCTGTTGAACATGTCTAAGTTCGGTAAGATATGGCCCGTGCGCAGAGCGACAGTGAGGAACTCTTCCATCCTATTTCTAAATCTGACCAACTACTTGTGTTTAGGCCGCTTCGTCCTCCTGTGGTGGCTCTTTTGCGCTTGGCGATTGCATAACGGCCCCGGACAGGGGAGGCAGATCAGTCGGTAGACCAACACTACTCATATCTGGAATCTTAATTGAGCCACTAGGAACAATCAGCTTGCCTTCCAGTTTCTCCCCTTTAATGACCTTGTAAGCTTCGTCGCGATCTAGCATCTCATAGTCTAGAAGAGCTTTGGCCAGAAGATGGAGTTCTTTTTCTTTGCTATGTATCAGCTTCTTCGCGCGATCATAGCCATCCTCAAGTGTCTGGCGCACTTCGGACTCCACGAGTTGTTTAGTCCCGGCTGATAGGTTATCGTAGTTAGTTGCGAGATCAACGTGTCCCAACTTTTCTGACATTCCAAAACTAGCTACCATGGCATAGGCAGCCTGTGTAGCCTGGGTCAAGTCCTGCCATTCTAATTAGAAAAGTTGGAGTTAAAAAGGAATAACTCAACTCACGCTTGAGCAGCCACTCGTGACATTTTCGGCGCCGAAGATGAGCTCTTCAGCAACCTTCCCTCCCATACAGACATCAATAGTAGCGCGATACTCTTCAACTGTCTTGGAATACTTGTCCATCTCAGGAAGATGGAATGTTACGCCTAGGGCTTGTCCCCGAGGCATGATGGTGACTTTGTGAAGTGGATTTGCTCCACGCGTGAACATGAGGACTAGAGCATGTCCTGCTTCGTGATACGCGGTGAGTTCTTTTTCTTTTTGAGGAATTAGCATACTTCGCTTTTCAGCGCCCATCAAGAGCTTGTCCTTAGCCCATTCAAAATCCAACATAGAAACTTCGGAAGATTTCGCCTTGCTTGCGCGTACAGCAGCCTGGTTAATGATATTCTCGAGCTCTGCACCTGAAAATCCCGGTGTCCCGGCAGCTAGGGTCTCAATGCTTACATCGTTGGCAGCGATGACCTTCTTCATGTGGTGCTTCAGGATAGCCATTCTACCACGGACATCAGGTAGATCCACTACCACGTTACGGTCAAATCTTCCCGGTCGTGTGAGAGCCTTGTCGAGTGATTCAGGAAAGTTTGTCGCACCGAGAATTATAACGCCACTAGATTGATCAAATCCATCAAGTTCCGTGAGTAGCTGATTGAGAGTTTGCTTCGCGTAATTAGAGTCACGGGCGCTCCGCTTACCTCCTATCGCATCAAGCTCGTCGATGAATACTATTGCGGGAGACTTGGCTTTGGCGGCGGTGAAAAGTTCACGCACACGTTTTGCGCCAACACCGACATAAATTTCATCAAACTCACTTCCGGACATGAAGAAGAATGGTACCTCAGCCTCGCCAGCGACAGCGCGAGCCAACAAAGTCTTTCCAGTGCCGGGGGGGCCAACTAATAATACACCCTTTGGGAGTTTTCCACCAAGACTCGAAAATTTTTCAGGATTCTTCAAGAAATCAACAAGCTCCTGGAGCTCTTCCTTGGCCTCGTCGCAGCCATGAACGTCTGAAAATCGCACATTTTGCTGTTCAGCCCTGGCTTCATTATCTACCTTTCCTCCAACTTTTTTCAAGGACTGAAGGGAGTCAATTACTAGGGTGACGATTGCAAGACTTAGATATACGGTGAAACCGAAGAGAGCCAGAAATTTAAACCACTTGAAGAGCTGAACGCCGATACTTTCTTCTACCACAACATAGAGGGGCGAGTCTTTTCGACCACTGCCAGAAACTGGACTTCGCGAAAGGGCGATATTTCCACCTTGAGACTTTGCTGCCAGCGCTTGGCCGACAGCCTGTAATTGTGCAGCATTTAGGGTTTCTCCAGGTTGAGATGTAGAATGGTCTAGGCTTGATGGCACACCGGATGAGCTCAGGGAGCCAAGAGCCTGGTGAAAGAGTGCTTCGCAAGTTGAGTTTGACGCAAACTTTTTACTTTGATGCCGCTCGATTATGATAGCAGGTGCATTTGCTCGAGCTAAGGCCTGGTAAAAGACAGATTGTTTATTGGCATCATTAGGATACTTGTTGGCTGATTCTTCCAACAGCGCAAGGGTATTTCTCGAAGCCCTTCCAAATAGAGTACGGCTGTGCTGATAGACCCACAGAGAAGTGGCTGTTTTAACTGTTCGATGTCTTGCGGGTGATATCAGTGGGATATGATGCTCTGGATGAAAAGTACCAAATGCACGTTTTCCGAAATAATTGTTTGAAGTTCCTAGGGTTGGCAGTATGAAGCTGGAATGTTGCTGATAAGATTTTGGGCCAAGTGGACCCTTGTAGTCGCCTTTCGCGAAGGCATGGGTGATGCCTATAGTTGTATCGGATGATGCCAAAAATTTTAGAGACTTAATGAGCCGTTAGCTTGTGACCTGTGTTCTCCAGCTAGCTACAGATTGAACGTACCCGTATCTGTGGTACGCAGGTAAGAGTAATAGACCCGTTGATTTGCGATCTGCGCCACAATTTTCCGGACAAGACTAATAGATTCGAATGGTCTTGGTAAGAAGAGAAAAACTTTACAGCAGACGACGTGGTAGGCAAAATCTTGGTCGCGGCGGGTGCCACATTCTGAAATATAGATTAGCTGCCAGAACCTATTCTCGGGTACAACGCTAATCAGGAGCCTTACAAGAAGCGCACTTTGCAGTACCATGTTTAGTCAGAAAACTACTCACATCTGCTGAAATCGGCGCTCCTCTATTGTATAATGAGTAGCTCACACGGGCAGGGTAAGTTGTATAGATCGGCTTGTCGCAAACCGCGCAGTTTCGACCTACTCGCTTAACAGTGTGTATTCACGTGGCCTGATGGGACCTGATAGTGCAAGTGTCATCGAGTCGAGGCCCGTGCAATAGAACATTTTCACGAAACAATGTCAACAGTTTATAATAAGCCCCTTGTGTAGGATTAACCTTGTATTTTATTCCGGATATCAAAACCCATCCAACGTTTATCATCTAATAGAATTTTATACACGTGTAAGACACTTACTCCATCAACTTAGAGTTGAAGTTGATTATTTATGTAATTAGGCCAGAAGAATGATATGCAAAAACACCGTACCTCCAGAATTGACCCCATAACCACTCCGGCACGCCTTGTAGACCGTCTACACGTTAGAGTCGAGGAACCGCAGACCAAACCTTGGCCATCGCTCATTAGGCTCATTAGAAGCGTCCCGTGCCCTGTATATCCAAAAAAATAGACTACCAGCCAAGAAAAGAAGATGATGAATTAATACCCAAAATTAGTACACCGCCGCTATGACATTATTCATCAATATTGCGCGGGAATTAGATCAAGTGTTCACCCGTAACCCCAAATTAGTTGGGAAGGTTCCAAGAATTGAAATTTTGTCAAGGTCGATGAGGCCAGCTATCTTTTTTGATGAAAAGTTCGTCATCGTGTGTACTCACGAAGATATTTGGTAGCTTCGTAAAACTTTCAAGTTGTAGGATGTCAAGGAACACCAATTTCTTGCTAACCTTGATGTCGCGTTAATGATGATGGTTCTGTTCATTTCCCACATCTTAATAAATCATTTTATAGCTTTTCTAATGATCACTAGATGATCCTATATGGTATCTAGCCGAGCCGAGGGTAGCTGGAAAGCTTGGTCATCAGAGTACGGTTCGATCTTTTCCATGTATGGTTGAAATGACGTCGCCGAATATACATTTATCAACTCTGGCTGTTGATATGGTGCTCCCTCATACCAATTGCCAGTTTGAGGCGCGGGCGACTGGAATTGGGATGGAACCTGGCCGGTTTGGGCCATGGCAGATGATAGATGTGTAGACTGGGGGCCAAGATGTTGGGGAACGGGCTGGTATTGCATCATAGGAGCGGATTCCATTTGATTAGAGTTGTGTAGCGAATAGTTGGGATGCGTTGATTGATTTGAATAATATCCATCGGGGCTAGCGCGGGAATTAGGCGATGAATTGGTAGGACTGCTGTGGACAACCATTTCTTTCGCGTCAATTTGGTGTCGCGGAACGTATGTCTGCACCGGTGGCGGATTTGGGTTGAGAGTAGCAACACCTGGATTATTATGCTCGGTGACATAGTAGCCAGAGTGTGTCGGGAGGCTGGGGGTGCGGTTCATCATTGATGTCTCATTGTCAGGGAGGGGTGGTGTAAATTGATGAGCAAAGCCCTGCCTCTGGTTGTATGCTTGATTGACTGGAAATCCTTCCATGTGGGGAAAGTCATTAAATGACTGAGATCTGTGCATCGGATTTGCGTGGTGGGGTATTCCATGAGAGAGGACTCCAGGACCGAGCGGAAGCGAATGTGGCCACTGCATGTGTCCGGAGTGTTGGGGAGTAGAAGGGGAGTCACCCGAATCTGAGTCGGATGTGTCACCGTCATCCATTTCGGAAGAGTGGATACCACGCTGATGAGACCGTCGTTGATGTTTGACCATAGTAGTCTTGCGACAAAAGCTAAATTAGGATTAGAAGAGTTGTATGAGTGCAAAAATGGCGACATACGACTTAAGACATCCCTCATGAGCGCACTTGTACGGACGCTTTCCAGTGTGAATGCGGCGATGACGTGCCAAACTTGAAGACTAAATCGTATTAGTCATGATTGGGAATTTTGGAGTATTATTGTGCTCACGTCAGAAAATCGTTTGCCACAGCCTATGTGTTGGCATTGATGTGGCTTCTCTCCAGTGTGAGTCCGTATGTGAACAGTCAAAGCACTTCGTTGGATGAAGCTCTTTCCACAGCCAGGTTGTAAACAGGAATAGGGACGTTCATTGGTATGAATACGATAGTGTCGTTGAAGATCTGATTTGCGGTTGAAACTCTATATCTTGGGTCAATGAAGAACTATACGAGGTTTTTATCCAGAAAATATACCTTAACGCAAGTCTGCCAGTCGCACTGAAAAGGTCTAGCATTGGGCTCATTCTCGACTAGTTCCATCACGTCCATTCTGCGAGAATCGGCGAGCGAGTGGGGACACGGAGGTAGTTAATGTTGTTTAGACAGGAGGCACATTCACGGGAGTGCTTGGATCTTTCGAGGTCTTCAGAATTCGGCGATGAGCGAGGCAGTAGCTTGAGGATGTGACTTTCTCAATAGCGATGTGTTTGGGCGAAAGTCGGCGGAGACAGTCTGATAGTTGTAGTTTTGATGGTTGTGAGAAAGTTCTGGATATGATAGCTGGTCACTATATGGAACGCGGATGAGGATTGAGTGTATCCGGAGGCAACGTGGAATAAGTATGCGGTACATGGGGTAAGGAGGGTTTCTGACAATACTTTATAGAGTACACCTGATGCTGAGGACGAACGATTTCCACTTAACTTTGGAGCCAGTGATAGACGCTTAGCGTACTTTGAGGGACTGGGGTCGAGTGAGAAAAGCAAGTGCTACCCATGATCCCCGTCGACATTAGTGTTGAATTTGAAGAAGCTCTGACCAAGGGGGGAGGGGGGTGGGGAAGGGAGCTAGGAGTCTTTTCAGTAAGTTCAAGTTTGTTGTTTCGAGGGACCTGGTACTGGCAGGATACGCAGCTGCCGGGGAAGGGTCTGGAGGGGATCTACCTATGAGTAGCGAATTAATCCAGTCAGTTACTTGGTCATCTAGGCTAGGCCGAACAAGGCAGCACCTTGGAGGAAGAGAGAGTTTGTGTAGTATGTTTAGGGAGGGAGGGAGGGTGGTATGTTAGTTGGTGATGGAAGGTCAGTCGCCAAGTGGATGACTGGGGGAACATGTCCTTTGTCAAGAGGCCATCATACCGTGCCTAAATTGGTGACTGCAACGCATGCCATTAAGCTCTACTCTAGGACGGGCAGGCAAGATAGGAAAGTGAGCTTTCTGGTGCCGGGGGGTCGACACGCCAGACAACCTTCAGTGATGAGCCCCAACCATTATCCAACAAACTCCTTTCATGTCTAAAGAAAGACCATGGATCACATATCATGTTAGTGGTAGTGAGACAAGATTACGAAGAGCCGGCTCCATCAAATGTCTCTGGCTGACCTCGCTCTCTTGCTCACTGGCTACCCCCTCCGCAAACCTTGGTGGAGGGAAGTTGGAAGATTCGGAAGAGGATTGCCACGAGAGTATGGTATCTCACAGCCAGGTCGACGAGCAAGCGTTGCAGTGTGAGGAGGGTGGGAGTGGTGGTAGCAGTAGTGGTGGTAGTCGTAGTCGCGGTAGGAGTGGGGGTGCCAGGGAAGAGAGACACAATGGCTTCCTGAAGAGGATTACGCTTAGAAGGGGCGAGGTTCCTGATAGGGTTTACGGTTAAGATAACCATAGCTAGCAGACAATGCCACCCCCAACTGCTGCCAGGGAAGCAGGTACTTGTAAGATCTCCTGACTTGGAGCGTAGTAGCAGCTGAGGAACTAAGCCAAGCAGACGTTAAGTAGGGCAGGAAAGAGAGAGGGCGCGATATAGGGAATTATAGAGGGAGCTCTACATGTGCAGTAGAGAATACAGCATCGGTGATCAATCTTCGAGTAGAGGATGGGCATATGTGTGTGTACGACTTGGTCAACGGAGATTCAAGAAATTGCTTAAGCCCTCGTCCAAACGGTTCGCTGAAGCTGAGCTGCCTAACGTCTACTCAAGCATGAGGAAGCACTAGCCCGCCCGATTATGAAATACCTCGAGAGACATCACATTGCACGCTACAATTTCTCATCCGATTCAATGGTCGCTGCTGTAATTGTGATTGTTGGCGGCATAGCTTCTTGATCTCCATGAGAGACTGGCGAGGGGGATCTGAGACAAGGTTGACCCGGATCGAGTTAGCTAGCCAGTTGACTGTAGTGGATGAAGTAATAACTAGTCAATAATAATAATATTCATAGGCGACTAAAGTTAGTTGTCATTAGTCGCTGCTAACTGGTTGCAGCGAAGAAAAGCTAGGCCGAGGTGAGTATTTTTGCCCCCACCCATGTCGACGAAGAAATAGGTGGGGGGGTGTGTGCCGATGATAGAGGAAAATAGGCAGCAAAAAGGGTCCACGGTAGACTTAGGTGCGGTAGTCGTCGGTCGTCGTCACCAGTTCCTCGCTCTGAGCTGCATCACCATTGAGACACGAGAGACGCCTTTGGGAGATGGTCCTCCATCATGATACTGCCTCACAACGGCTCCTGCTACTCCTGGACAAATGGTAGGCTCGTTGCTCGGAGCGAGCCTTGAGAGGCAATTGTTAGAACGAGTCACGCATCTTGTAGTCGAGGGTTCAGAAAAGGAATAATTGCAACTATCCTTGCCGCCGACGGCGACGAGATGGAGAAAATGCGACGGGGTGATAGAGAAGAAGCGCTCAGGAGCAAGAGATTCATGCAAAACCTGTCCTTCTCGACTTCCCGCATTTACTCGAACAATATCACTTCATCCTTTCTCGACATGCCCATCCCAATTCAATTGATGGAGAGCAGATGGTTTCCTGTTACAGTCCTGCAGTCCTTCATCAGCGTAGTCTTAGTCTCGTAGTATTACCAGCCAAGTGTGACACTGAGCAGGCGGAACCCGGTTTGCCAGGAAGACGCGCTAGACTTAGTTACTGATGGCAGATATTTTTAAGTCGTCGAAACACGTGAGTCACGTGTAAGTTGAACGACATGCCTCGCCCCTGCCCAAGATGTTGAGGGTTCATCGTCTCTCTGAATACCCAACCCGGGTAAGGCGGTGATTCCGCCCCTCACTCGAATCGGCCGGTATAGATGGCGGTCGACGTCTAGATGGCTTGTGATATCACATCTTTGCCTCCCTCCCTCGGCCGCAGGAAAGACGATCACCATCCACATCGTCACCACTATCATCATTCTCTCGTCGTCTTTGTCTAGCTCCGGCTCCTGCTCATCATGTTCACCATGATCTTCGTGACGACGGACTTGTGCTGTATCCCTTCCCGAGACCAGTAAGAAAATACAGTGCCGCGCCGAGGTAAAGCTGATGGCAAACGATTTCTCTACCCCGCCCCCCACCCTGCAGGGATTAAACAAGGAGCCTATCAGCTTCAGGCTAAAGACAGTCTTATTATACACTTGGTCAGGTATAACGTTCGAGTCACGGCCCACGCCCATTGCGCACCCGTCTGGGCCTGCATAAATGCCACGGCAGCTGCTCCAGTAGCTTTCTACAACAACTCTGAGTCGGTGGAAGTGCCGTTGGAGGCAGTGAACGAGGCTTGGCAGTCGCGTAGCTCTCAGGTGCATAATTGTGCGAATTTTCCGGGCACGTCACGCAGGCTCCCTCCAGTACGCCCATGGCAAGCTTAGGTGCCAAGCGAGGCGGCATATCGGCGACATGCATCAACGGTCGTTCGGATAGCCAAGCCTTGCCGGCTTGCTCTTTGCGCAAGGGAAAAAGCAAGACAATCAAGCGAGCCAAGCCAGGTGGTAACGCTATTCCCTTCACTACGCTCGGCTATCGCCAGCACCGTTCATGGGTAGGGCGGGTGAGGAACATCGGTCGCTTTCTGCGTTGATTTGAATATGGGGAATGTTCAGATTCGACCATCCACCTTTCTGGTCGCCAGGGTGTGTCGGGATGATCGACCCATACAACGCAGATTAATCCTTTTTCCATAGCCTAGCTACACTGATGTGAAAACGACGTCGTTACCCCGTCGTTGTTAGCCACACTTGACCATAACCGAATCTTGACTAGACAGGCGCCGAGGCATAGCAGCAACATGGCCGTCCCAAATAAACGGCATATTGACATCAACTATACCGCTGCATGGCATATGTCTGGGGCTCGGTCGAAAGCTTTTCATAGCTTATTAACGATGAAACACGAGCCTGGCGACTCGTAAATTAAAGCTTAAGCTTAAGCCACGTAACATTTTGTTCCCTCTATCTTCACCACGGACTGTCCTCATCACCAGTGCACAGATGGCGCATGTTCGAGCGAAGTTTCCGTCCAGCCTCCAAGGCAACTCACAGGAAGGTTATGGCTTATTTCTCTTGACCCTTCTGCAAGTCATGTAGTCCAGGTCCATGGTTGGCCTAGGAAACTAGTCATCATGACTGACTTAGTGCAGTAGAGGTTGGCTAGTTCAACCCACTTACAGATGGAGTTGATACCAGCCCGTAAAAAAGCCATCATCTAAATGATATCTTGAAACACGATCGTCATCCTATGAATCGCCAGGTCTTCCTAGTGGTATCATTCTTACGCAAGTCAAGCCTGAGCGAACAGAGGACTACATGTCGCTACCTCGGATACTTGTAGTTACTGTCTTGTCGGGAGACTTTATTGAGCTTCATCTGATTCATTTTCCGTAAAGGCGCAGCCCTTCGCGGATTGGTCTCGAGTGCTTGACAGTCAACCTAACCATGATACTGCTTCGCTGACTTGTAACCAGCCGGGATCCTTACCGGTCCGCGAGCCCCACTTGTTCGTCGGGCTGTATCCGACATGTCGGCTAGGGACCCGACTAGCTGGGGGCTATCAGTGCCGACAGTATCTTTGCGTCTTGCGCGCGTTGGCCGCAGCAACAGACAAACTCTCGAAGCATCTGACCTCCGCTGTTTGAGATTCTGCGTATGCTTGCTTGTTAGAAGGGAGTGGGGCCGAGTCAAGGCACAAAGGTAAACTGACTGCCCTTCCCCACTCCGAACTTTGTGCACGCCCCATCTAATTCTCCAGCCAGCGAACAGCCCGAGCTTGAAGAAATCTAGCAGCATGTCCATTTATGCGCTACGGCCACTTGGTCAAATCCCGAATTCTCTGCCAGGTTTTCCAGGTTATTCCAGGTCAAAGACTCACGACGACCGCTGCTGTCTCGTCGGCACGACTGTACCACATGATGCGAACTTATTTTTTACATTTGCTACTCTTTATCTCTCCACATACTTTGTTTCGCCAGTATTTCTCTATACGTATAGTGATCTTCCTCTCCCCAACCCACCCCCCATGAAGTGCAGGGGTCGAGGAGGGAGGAAAATATTGCGGTCGATGTAGG